CCTCCTACTTTGAAGTCTCCGAGCCCATCCAGAGCTTCCTTGGTACAAGCTTCTGTACAAGTTGAACAGAATCGGTGATAAATAGCATCCTTGTCAAACTCCTCTTCCAATCTGCACACTTCTTGTCTCCCCTCTGTCCAGTCGTACTCTAACTTTTTGATCCATGTGCAATTTACTAATCAATCTTTTTTCATGCTAATTGATACCTGTTTCCTTTAGGATCTGCATTAATTTGGTCCAGTTTACACGGTCAAATGCCTTCTGCCAGTCTATGAAGCAAACACACAGTTCTTCATCTATCTCCAAAGTTCGTTCCGCTATAATTCTCATCATCCCAATTGCATCCCTGGTTCCTTTTCCTCTTCTAAATCCAAACTGATCTTCTCCAAGTACATCCTCTATTTTCCTTTCAATTCTTCTTTTAAGTATCTTTGCTATTATCTTTGCTGTATGTGCAATAAGGCTTATTTTGCGATGGTCGCTTCATTCTGTAGCTTTTGTCTTTTTCTTTGAGGCAATCAATGCAACTTCTGTAAAGTCCTTGGGCCACTCTCCAGTTTCATATATGGTGTTCATTAGTTTTGTCAGTGTTTTCAAACCACCTTCTCCCAGTAACTTGAGCACATCTCCAGGTACATCATCATCTCCTGTAGCCTTTCCCTTCCTCATTTCCTTGATAGCTTTTTCCACCTCACTTTGTAAAATATATGGTCCTTTCTCGTCTGTATCTACTTCTTCTTCCGGTTCAACTTCTAAGGTTTCTGGCCGATTAGGTCGATCATATAGTTCTGAAATATAATTTTCCCAAATTTTCAGCACTTGCCTCTGATCTACTCTTCCATTCCCCTGGGCGTCTTCAATGCCAACATTTTGAATCCCATGATTCTCTTTCCATATTAGATCTTCTGTCTTCATGTACATCAAATCATAATGTCCTGTCCTTTGAAATTCTATAATCTCATTACATATCTTCTCAAGATATGTCCATGGCTATTTTCAATTCATTCCTCAGTCTCCTGTATTTCCTCCTGCCTTCTTCATTGTTTACATTCTTCCATTTCCTTCGCTCCTCCATTTTACTCATCATCTCCTGTGTAACCCATGGTTTTCTCACTATTTTCTCAACTTTACCAACCAATTCACTAATAGTATCTAACATGCATCTTTTATATTCTTCCTTTACTTTTTTACTTTTTTTTTTTTACTATCTATACTAAGTAAATATACATCTTTTTATGGTTACAGGAAATCTTTATGCCAGGTGTTATCCAGTGGTTTTCATTAACTCTCTGTTACTTCTTTGAGAGGAAAACTTGTGTAGAACATTCTTAGATAGTTATTCAGAAACATATTAATTAACGAATCTGCATGCATGTTATCATTGTTGCTACAAATACTCTCCCAGAATTCATCACTTAATCTAATTTTAAAATCTTCTACAGAATAATATTTTCACTAATGTACCATTGTCACAAACATTTGGACCATAATAAATGTATAATGTATTTAAGCATCCCGTTGCACAAATACAGTGTTTATTTTATATAATGTACATTTCCGTCACTAATACAACACCTTTATTTCTCCATTCATGACATGTTTTGGCCGTGCATGGCCATCATGTTCATTATGCTAAAACTGTTGCACTGCAGAGTCTGCCACAACCTAATATTAAAATTGCAACTAAAATTCAAATTATAATAGGTCATACTTTTGAATATAGTAAAGACGTTGATTCCAATCTTCTTGTGGAACCTATTAGCGCAGTCTTCAGTGGCGTGGATATATTCGAGTTTTGTGTAGTTCGTGGATGTTTTGTGAATGTTGATTTCTCTTATACATGTCCCTTTGGTTTCTTGTCTGCTGTCTAAAATCATAAAAATTAGAATACAAGAAACTCTAATTTTTCTGTGGTTCGTTATGGGTGGGACACTCGGTCACAGAGTCATAGAACATAGAGTCAGGGTGTTTGAGAGAAGGGTGTTGAGGAGAATATTTGGACAGAAGAGAGACGAAGTGACAGGATGTAGGCGAAAACTGCATAATGAGGAGTTCCATAACTTGTACTCTTCTCCAAGTATAATTAGAATGATGTAGTCAATGAGGATGAGATGGCCAGGGCATGTAGTACGAATGAGAGAGAAGAGGAATGCATATAGGATATTGGTATGAAAGCCACAACCTTGAATGCACTTGGTTTTGTTTCTGTTAACTATTGATATTTTAGTCCTGTAAATTAACTTTACCATGAAGAGAGCCGAGTTACTTTCTGCCCCTCTATAGGATCGCACATCGATAAGGCTCTTTGCGTGTCTTGCATCTATCATAGAATGGTCAATTTAATTTCTTGTCTGACCATCGACAGATATCCATTTTTTCTTACAGAAAAGTCTCAGGTGAAATCGTACTTCTTTTAACCAAGTTTCCGGTGACAGCAAAATTGGCCGTCATTAAAGTTACGTGAACGTTATGGTGTCCCACGTTTTGTACGTACTACAGGATCTTTTCCCATCTTCGCCTTTGCAGCCCCCATAATAATTTGGACGCAATATCTTACTGATGTTTCCCTTCATATGGAGATGGCATAAACACTCATCTACTGACAATTATTGGACTTTGTCCATCTTCCAGTATTCTAGTAGCTAGAAAACACCTTCATGCCACCCATTTCTCCATCATCATAATCACCTGGGGCAGGTACAATAGTCCAATCAGTGGCTGCAGTGCCGAGGAGACCCAATTAGGACTGCACCCCCACATTAAGTGCATTAAAAGGTTCAATTAACTAGAAAATATAACTACCTGCTCAGTTTGGTCCCTTATATAATTTCTTCTCATATATTATTTCAGAATGGGGAACTCCAGCACCATTGTTGAAGACTTGAAGGAGTCAGGTCGTAAGTAACATACATACTGTAACTCGTTATTACAAATGATTATAATGATTTTATTAAAACTATCAGCTATTTAAATAGATTAATGAAGTAGAACATATGAAACTACTTGTAAAATAGTTAACCAGAATCGAAAATTTAGCTACTCAATCGCATTATAGGAGAGGGTTTTCAATTTCATTGGTGGAATTAGCAAAATCTTGTCTGGTACCATGGATAGTGAACACACAACATATTACACAGACAAAATTTCGGATTTAGAAATGGAGCAGATTGATTTTTTAACTTTCAAAAGAACAGGTAACAGTCTTAAAATGGACGTTAAGATCTATACGACATTACAAGAATTCTTTGAAAACAAGAGTGTATGATCGTACGGGCTGGACATTAATGAACACGGTGATAAGACAAAGAAAATATATAGTTCCTAATTAAAATTAGAACTAAAGATTTTATAGTGCTACTACAGGAACATCAAAATTAACGTGTGTAAAATAATCTACAAACCAGACAGATATCAAGGAAGTAGATGTTGATAATATTAAGGAAAGTGTTTTAAATGTTAAATTTTGGGCTGGGTGCAGTGTGACAGCAACGTGAGTGTTATACACCTGATGATGGCCGTCTGAGGCCGAAACATGTAGTGTAGAGGAGCAAGATCAAGGACACATAATATATTGTTTGCACTTGGGACGGAATTTGTATCATTATATCATTTATCGTATATATGTGTATCATACTGAGGCCATTTTATTCTTTCTTTTTTTAATGATTACCAATGCAGCCTTCACTGCGTATTTCCCCATTTATATGGCCTGGGTAAGTTTCAGAAAAGCAGCAAAGGAATTCCCGTTCCTTTACATGACGTTATATTTTTATTTAAATAATGTACTGAAATGTTTTCTGAGAGATAGAGAGAGATTCACTCAAGTTTCCTGAACAGGATTTGGTAAACAATAAATCGCCATATATTCTTAGAGGTAAATTTCAGAATCTCAGTCAGTAGGCGAGTTTCAATTAGGATTAAATCTCATGTGACTCCTGTATTTATGTGTTGCAGGGTATATCGGCTGTAGGCGTAGGCCTCGTTATTTTTACCATATTAACATGGCTGCGCCACGTAAGTATCATGACAGTTGACTTGTCACTTACCAAGCATTACTGCCTCTAGGCAATTTGCCAAATTAAAGAAAAAAGTTGTTCAGTCTGCAAGGTCACGCCAAGCATTACTGCCTCTAGGCAATTTGCCAAATTAAAGAAAAATGTTGTTCAGTCTGCAAGGTCACGTATCCCTGCTGGGAGATTTCACTTTCTGACCCCGACCCTTTGAATTACTTGCAGTTTACCTACAAAGACAGGGCCGTGAGAGCGTAGTCGGTATAGCGACTTTATACGGGCCGGATGACCTAGGGGTCGGAGTTAAAATTCCGGTAGGGTCTTTTCTCCACAGCATCCAGACCGGCTGCGGGGCCCACCCAACCTACTATCCAGTGGGTACCTGCGGCTCTTACCCCGGGAGTAAAACGGCTGGGGCGTGAAGCTAACCACTCACCTCCAACTAGTGCCCAGGTCAAGAAAACCTGGGTCTATACATCCACTCCCCCATACGTCTTCATGGTGTAGTGCTTAATCACTTAAGCACAGGGACACCTTTACCTTTACCTTACGCTCTTAGGAGGAGCCAGCCTTTTGTGTAGCACATCGTGCACTGTTGAACGTGGAATTTGTAACTGCAAGCTAGCAGCAAGAATTGATTTGCGCGGACTTCGCTGGAATGCCTCCTTAATGCGATTGACATTTTCTTCAGAAGTCCGTGTTTTTCTAGGAGATTTCACGCGCAACAGACTCCCTGTAGTCCTCAGTTTTTTGTCCCAGAACCGAATGCTTGACGTGTATATTGTGTTCTGAAACAACGCTGGACAGCCGTAAGAAATTGCTACTCTGGTAGCCACGACAAGAATTGAACCTGTACCTGTGGTGTCGACATTGCTGCCTATTGATATCCAGCTCGCGGAAGGTAAACAGGTGGCGCATGCGCGTAGGTCGGTCGTGAGTTTTTCATTCCGATGACATAAACCGGATACATGTATGAAAATTAGTTTCCGGGATATATATTTTTATTTTGGATACATTTCACCGGGACTGCCCGGACAAGGGACCAGCCCGCCGCAAGGCCACCACCCACACACAAACAACCATACCCCGAGCGGGACCAGAACCCACGATCCCAGCACTCGAGCGGGTGAACACGGCCCACGCCCCAGACCGCGCGACCACCGTGATCGGTAAATGAGGAACTAGTGCACAATAATAATTCAGTTAAATTCTTATTTATTTGAGTGGCAACTCAACAGCCCAAGGACCAGTTACAATGTGAGCACGAGCGAAAGAAAGAAAACAAAGCACAAATCAGAGCAAAGTAGTAGTAGTAGTAGTAATAATAATAATAATAATAATAATAAGCTATTAAAAATAAACTTAGCTTTGAAATACTAAGAAATATTTACCTACTGTCAAATGCGATAGGAGAAATCAAAATTTAAGAAAACAGGAGTAAGTAAACTATGACAAGGCAACATAAAATTAAATATTACATTATATATTCTTGCGGTAGCGTAGTTAGTTGAGGCACTATGCTACAAGTCGGAAGGTCCCGGTGAGGTCATTGGATTTTTTCAATTGACCTATTCCTTCCAACTGCACTACGGGCCTGGGGTCCACTCAGCCTCTAACAGAAATGAGTACCAGGAATCTTCCTGGGGATTAAAGTGCGGCCGGCGTAGGGCTGACAACCTTACCACCATCTTTCAGCCTATTGTCCCAAATTATCTAGGCTCTAGATAATGTGGGACCCAACCTCTTTCAGCCTATTGTCCCACATTATCTAGGCTCTAGATAATGTGGGACCCTCATCGTCTCACATTCCTATGGGCCTTCATGGCCCGTTAGATGGATAGCTTTACCATTTTATTCTTTTACTCTTTAAATGAGCCCAGAATATACGTAATTTGTAGCTTATATTGAATACTGCATACCGCAACGAACTTGTCGACGCAAAATTCCAATCCCTGATGAGGTTACTGAATTCATCAACTGACCAAATCCCTCCAGCCGCGCCAAGGGCCTGTGATTTAACCCAGCCTCCAACTGAAACAAGCACCAGGAATCCCTTCGGCCTCAAAGGCGGCGGGCGCGTAATGCTCAGAACCCCCACCGCCATCCGTGAGCAGGCCGTGCACAAAATGTGGGAGCCTTGACACCTCACAACCCTCTGAACCACCACGGCCCGCCACAGGGACAGCTTCAATCTTTATTTCCATTTATGTTAAGTGTCTGTTAATGTCTTGTCAACTTCTCCGGTTAATTAGTGTAACGTGTTAATGTCTCCCCTACATTTAATTACATGAGACACACATAATGACAATCAATTAGCTTTGAGATACCACATTTATGGCCGCAATATAAGAATATCTTCAGGTATTGATCTAACTGTGCAGTTCAGCTGGAAATCTGACACTCGTGTAATTTATGATCCCTCCTTTGTAAGCTATGTACTTTTACAGCTGTGAGTTTATAAAGAAGTATTTGAGGATGACAGAAGCTGAGAACTGAACGTGTATGTCCCAATGTCCTGTACAAGTCCATCAATCCCTCTAACTTAATTTATATTTTCAGAAGAGACAATCAGAAAGGGCCCCTGCCGCCCCGGAACGAGAACGCCAGGAGCTTCAAGTACGCCAGGGGCGTGCAGTACGCCAGGAGCCGGGCCACCAGGCAGAAGCTCGCCGGAGGGCCGGCCTCGAAAAAAAACAATGGCGATACTAGCAGTAAGTAAAGTAAATGCGTCCCTGTAACAGGCCGTGTAGGCCTATTGGGTTGTGAGACGTGGAGGTTCCCACATTTTCTAGACAGTCGGCTCATAGAAGGCGGTAAGGTTATCAGCCTTACGCGCCGGCCGCCCTTTACCCCCAACAACATTCCAAGAATATTCCTGGTACTCATTTCTGTTAAAGAGGCTGGATCAACCAACTTCGCTACTGCATACCCCTTTGGAAATATTAGGTAAATTAAAAAATTCAATGACCTCAACAGGACTCGAACCCGTGACTTTCCGGCCGCAACAGAATGCCCCAACCAACCACGCCACTGTGTGACCATCAGTCATTTGTATGAGGGATGAAACAAGGGCCGGAGAGAGTAGCGTTTGCCTGAATATCATTCAGCGCTTCTGCTACAGATGGGAGGTTCAACTGGCCGGAGGGTGAATTCACATAGTTAGAGATCCTCACTGTTTGGTTATCGCACTCGTGAGCAATCAGAACAGAAAGCTCTGATTCACATATTAATAACTTTAATTACCCGCAGTTGTTTATTACATGCAATTGAACAGTGTTATACTCGTAGTTTCTTAGATTATCCAGCACCGCCGACATGCGAGAAATCGGGTTACTGTTAATGGGGGGACACGGTGTATAATGAGAATCAAAATTTCTTAATTTTTACTTTCTACAAGTTTAGTTTCATTTAGCACTCTGAACACTGAAATGCGACTATGTGAAAAATATGATATGTCTGCAACCCAAAGAGAAGTTTACGGCTTGTCTGTGTGTAATTTTTTTGCCTCATAACTTTCAACATTCAGGCGCAAGATAGCAAATATGGCTTCTAACAATAGACGAAACAGCACAGCCGGCAAAGGTCTCTTCAAAACCAAAAGGTCACTACAGCTCAAATAGGCTTCGAAGAGTTCATAAAGCCGCTACACTGAGATTGCGGTCATGTCCTAATCAAACTGCTCGCTGGTGTTCTTTTTAAAGAAGAATAACATACCGGGATTCAACCCTAGTTTTCTCTTCCATCTGGTAAGGTGAGGCCGAGTGTACTTGGCATTTTGGTCATTACTCGACCTATTGTAACAGCCATGGATGATAAATGAGTATGACATATTTTGGTGGAATGAGGATTGGCCGGGGAAACCGAAATAATCAGAGACAACCTGAGCCAGTGCCACTTTTTCCTCCCCAAATCCCAAAGTATCTGACATGGCATCGAACCTGGGCACCCAAAGCCGGCCATTATCCGCCTGAGCTATGGCATGGCTTAAGTGAACACTGGGTTACTCTCACTTTAGATGGGCGAAATGCCATGCATTACTGATGCACTTTGCTTTCTTCAACTACACTGCTTATGTGTGTGGTAAGTATGATGACTGCAAGTGATAAATGGTGACTGTCAGCGGAAGGAGCCATTTGATGGCAATTTAAGGGAAACTTCATTCAAGATTTCTGATATCTTAAGTCGGGGCCTTCTGATTTATTTTCATTAGGCTTTTCTCAGGTACACTTCTTTCTCTTCAGACCTCGCACATCCAAGGAAGTGTTTACAATGCAGTATTACGAAATTGCAGAGGTAATTAGCCTTCATACACCAGAGTCGGATCCTAGCGTTCCTACGGCATAGTTGGAACCTAGACGCTGAGAGTATCAGAGAACTGAGAGTCAAGTATTGAGGCAGAAGTCAAGTGATACTACAACTGACAGTAATTGTTCGGTGTGTAAGAGTGAACGTCCAATAAAAGTTCGCTGAATCCAAGACCCACGCAAACTTATTTGTCGCGTGACATACCCAACATCCCCTCGTTGGTGTCTCCACCTTATCGTGGTGGTGAGGTGGTTTGAGCCCTGAGAACTATACCAGCGGTAGCGTAGCTACTGGCAGGGCCTCCCTTGCTGGATAGGTTAAAGGGTAGGCATCAGGCGAAGAGAGAGACCAAAAACCAAAAACTGATGCCGGAAGCAGCGTCATCGGCAGCGACTTGAAGCACAGAGCAAATGATGCTCGAGATGGTTCAAATTCGTATAGCAACAGGCGTGACCAAAGTGGTTTGAACGGCTGTTGTACTGCTATGTGGAAAGCAAATGGAAATACTACCACATTATCACTTTTCATGGATAGTCTCTTTCCAAAAACAGAGATACCATGTATGCGATAGAGGGGCGGATAGAAGTGACCAGAAGATGAGGAAGAAGACGTAAGAAGATGCTGGATGACCTTGGGGACAGAAGGGGATATTTTTATTTGAAGGAGAAAGCTCTAGATCACATAAAGTGGAGGAACTGTTTTGGAAGAGACTGTGGTCCTGTCATCTGACAGATTACTGATGAATGAATTACGAAATTCTCCGTAACACTTTGAATGCCTGAACCGATCTGTATGAAACCTGGTATAAGAAGACACTTGCGCCCATCCCAATGGCATGCTTCATAAATCCCTCCCATCAGTCTGTGTCTGTATGTGTGTCCCCTTATCGTTAAAAAAAACGTCTCTGTAAAACTTTACCACGGCTATGAATACTCAAGCAACAATATAATATTTGTGTGGTGTGTCCTTTTCTATTCCGTCCGTGTCTTATAAAAGGAAAGCAGGCGGTTAGTTCTTCCCAGAACTACTTTTCTAGGAGACAATCAAAAAGTAGCTCCTACCACATACTGTAATGCTGTCCCATCTCCTTCTGGTTCTTATGAATGGGCGGTTCTCTACAGACGTTCTTGCTTTAGCTGGATTTGTTCCAGAGATTTTATCTTGGAAATAACTTCTTTTAGATATATTAATGGTTGTATATCTTACTTTTTGCTTCTATTGGTGTCGCTGTTTGTTACTTCATTTCTTTATTTTCTTGTATGCAGTGATTTTTACATCATTTTCCTCATGTTTTATACCAGATGAAAGTTGTAATATACCGTGAACTTGTGGGATGTGATTCTTGTCTTCCAAACTGAATCTGCGCACCTACTCCATCGGCTGTATCATTACTCCAGGGACTTCATATGACATGTATAAATTACGAAGCTCTTCGTCATACAACAACTTAACCAACTACTTAACCAAATCCTTTCAGCTCTCAAGTCAACTTCACCAAACACTTTATTTACAAACAACTGTATTTCATGAAGAGTTCTATCCTCTGGGATAAAGTTCCATGTATTCCGCTGAATGCTAACCGACGTTTCGGTGCAAAAAGGGCGCTTCCATCTTCAAGTTCAGGCTCAGCTTGCTATCTAATTAATGCTAGCTTCCCCTTTGGCCTACCCCTCGATCCTGAAAATGAAGGCGGCACCCTCCCCCGAAATGTCGGCCGAACCTCAACGGACTACATGGCGCTATACTCCAGAAGATAGAATCCCCCACAACCCCCGCTGTGAGAAGCTCAAATTCTATTTGTAATTCGTTTTCTCTGGAAGAACATTCATACTTTCAGATCATACGGCCTCGTTAAATAACCTATGACTCAGCGAACTTGTCTCGATAACAAAGAAAACGTTAACAAATGTCACTGCTGTTAAAATGAATCCAAATTCGTACCATTTCCATGAACTGGAATCAGTCTGATTCTGGAAGATGCAAGCGTAATTACATTAAACTGCTTCTACTGCATCAAGTTCTCTGTACTAAAGGGTCTGTTAAGTTCCAATGCAGTCATGAGCTTTGTGTGATAATCTGTTTTTCGTGCGCCACACTCATAGGGAATTTTGCAATTGTAGCCGTTCTTTTGTTCTGCTAGCTCCGATAGAGAAATTCAACTTATCTCAGGCCGTGTTGCCTGGCCAGGACTTGGGTGATAGTCCAGCGCAGGATGTTGGAAGAGTTTGGACCGCCAGCAGTCCACAGGGACACAGTCGTCCGAATAAACAAGCAGTTTGATGAAACTGCCAGTGCTTTGAATCCCAATCATCCTGGTCAGCCGAGAACTGTCCGAACTGCTGACACAAGCACGTGATGCTGCGGAACTGGCATCATCTCAGAGGAGAGAGAACTTTGATGAACTGTGGTGGCAGCAAGATGGGGCCCCACCACACTTCACCAATATTGTTCGGACGTTCTTGCATCAACGTTTTCCTCAACTCTGGATTGGCCGTCGAGGACCTGTGGAGTGGCCAGCCCGATCACCCGACATCACCCCACCAGACTTTTTCCTTTGCGGTTACCTCAAAGACAAGGTGTACGCTAATCCCATTGACAGTGTGAAATATCTGCGTGAGGCGATTGTTCAGGAGTTCAATAAAGTTCCGGTGAATATGTGTAGAAAGGCGTGTGAAAATGTCGCTTTGCGTCTGCAAGCCTGTGTTGACTTAGGTGGTGCCCAGGTTGACCAGCATCTTGAAAATCGATGACTTATGTGTGTGCGACTCCATTTTTGTAACCATTGCAATTGTTAACATTTATCAATAAAAATAACATCTAATCAAAAACTACCTAATTGTGTCTGGCCCACCCTGTATGTATCATGCACGACGAAACATTTGGCAAAACGAGAACTATGGTCCCCTTCAAGTTACTGTCGTGACTGGGCGGCCTGAGGAATCTATTTAAATGCAGTACAAAATAGCATACTCCTCCTGAATACCGTTCTATTCGGTTCCCTCGTGTTATGAACCACGAGGTTTCGTGAATGTCGACACAAAACTGAGCAAATCGCCCAAAGTGACGGCCTGTTCGCAACTTCAAAACTAACGGGAATACACGAAAGGATCTAACTCAGACATTTTTCAACTTTATTCAACAGGTACAAGTGGCACTACTACCACGTCTTCTTCTTCTTCTCCTTTCTTCTTCTTCTTCTTCTTCTGTTGCTCCCACTTGGAGGATAGGGATCCGTGAAATGTTTCGTTTCACTTCAGTTTCTTAATCCAAGACAATCGGTAGGGCTCTTTGGACTCCTCAGCCCGTCGCAAGGCCGATACCTAACACAAACAAAATAGACACAGACATCCTTGGGTCGGGGGAGTCCCGCCTACTGTGCATAAGTTGGAAACTGGATGGGAAACTGAGAGGGCAGCCAGGGTCCACAGGGGCTGTGGAGCCATAGATAGAGGGATCGAGAGGCCCTCGCTTATTATTAAGCATTTAGTTTGTTGTCGTCTGGGATGTGACATCGTGTAGTTGTATAGAAGTGTACGACATTTCGGAGAAGATCCATATTCAAGGTCGGCCCTGATGATGGAAGTGGGTCGTTACCCATATACAAATTTGCTCTGAGTTACATTCTGGAAGGCCAACCTTAAGAACTTGATATGAGTTACTAGCCGTGTTTTGTTGGACAAAACTAATTCAAATTTCTAGTTCTGAACATTCCAATTAGTCATGCCGACCAGCTACCTTTCCTTCTGTTTTCTCCGTCTCCAGACTCCTATCTCTCATGTGTCGCACCTTCTCTCTCGTTTCTCGTAAGAACCAACATTCTGTTCTACTTACATCTCCGTCATGTGAAATTAATATATTTTTGAGAAGCTAATGACTGCTTAGCCAATTAAATACTTCCCAGTCTCTTATGGGACCCAGGGGTTAATTACCGTGTTCCCAATAGTTCGCAACTATGCCCTATTCCAACCCACCTGAAATCCGTCCACACTCTGACATATTTCCCTAAAATGCATTTTAATATAATCCATGTAGCGTATACAAGTACCTCGTACATGGTCTGCGCCTAAGTCCCCCAAGTAGTCTCTTCTCTGGAGGATATTCAGACAAAATGTAGTTCATAGCAGCAAGCCACATGCTTCATGTTGGTTCGCTGTTCGAACTGTGGATGGAGGCGATATATTCTTCCGAAACGTCGTTTGAGTTTCGGCTGACTGCGCGGCGTTGTGTCCTGGAGGCTATAGCTTATAATGGTCACCCCTGTGGGAATGTGAAATACAGCAAAAATATTGTTTTCAGTTTACACCAGTGGACAACATGATGAAAATTGTTTGAGTGCCAGGAGGTATGAGAACAAAATAGAGTTTTAAATTATAATAACTCCATTGCGTGTCACATTTTGTGCTGTGGGTTTCAACGTGTGGTATTGGTTTCCTTCCTGCACCTATTGTGGTCTCTAGAAGCTTGCATGAAGAACACATGCGGTTTTATTGCCCATGTTGAGATGTTGTGTCATGGGGTTTTCCCAGTTCACATGTTACCACGCATTTATTTCTCCATACCTTCTTGTTGTAGTGTTGTTGAGTTGAGTCTCAATTCAAATGGATCCGTTTGCATTGCTCATGTATCTTTTATGGAGGCTGAAGTCTGAATTCTGCGCCAGTGGTGTGACCACAATACGTACCCTGCTGCGACACCTGCAGAACTTATGAAACGGTTTTCTTCTCTTTTCATGTGGGATCTTATTATTTTCTTTAGTTCATACTTGTTTGTAGTATCTTAAATAAGATAAATTTGTCTCTTCGACTCAGATGTCCTAATGCCGCTGGACACGAATATTTACATAATTTTGATTCTTCCGGAGTGCGGGGAGCTGGGATTCAGTAGTCATAGTCGGTATAGCGACTGGGTACGGGCTGGAAAACCGAGGGGTCACAGTTCGAGTCCCGGTAGGGTCAAGAATTTTCTCCACGTCGTAAAGACTGTCTCCTGGGCCCACCTAGCCTCCTATCCAATGGTTACCGAGGCTTCTTATCCCAGGGGTAAAGCGGCCGGGGGCGTGATGCTGACCACTCACCTCTAGCTAGTGCCGAGGTCGAGAAATTGTGGATCCACATATCCACTCCAGGCGAACCGGGACAGCACAGTTGGTGTAGTGACTGGCTAAGGGGCTCTACTACCAAGAAGGCGGAGTCTGAGTCCTGGAAGGGGCAAGATCTTTCACTTCTCCACGTCTTCCAGACCGGCCCTGGAGCCCACCCAGCTTACTATCCAATGTGTATGGGTGGGCTCTTTCCCCGGGGTTAAAGAGGCCTCAGCGTTAAGTTGACCATCTCCAGCTAATTGCGAGGTCAGGAAAATGTGGTCCTATACATCCATTCCCCCATACGTCTTCATGGCATAGTGCTTAATTAGTTAAGCACAGGGAAAACTTTACCTTCATCTGGATATTCTGTATATATAATTTACTGTTGCTGAATCGTGAATTGGACAGTATGCACGGAGCGTCTGATAAAAACCACGAAGATTTTAGTCAGGATAGCTTTCTCCAAGTGCCGGGATTTCCCTTCATTAGGAAATGATTTCTTCCTTTCCAGTTATCATGCGATTTCCTTTATGGTGACAAAGGGTTGGTATGTATAATTACAATGGTCTTGTTAATGTTGCAATAACTTGAGTATATCAACAGACTTTTCTTTCTGTTCACAGGCATACAAAGAAGAAAGGAAGCCAGACGGCTATTCATGTATATAATAATATTATTAAAATAGAATTTCTTTGCTTTCCCATTTTTCAGAAAATTCTTCATTAGTTAGTCAGTTTATTACATTTCAGAAAATTAATTAAATATGGTAAATTATTATTATTATTATTAAGAATTCTAAAATTTAATTTCATCTTTTTGTTTTAAAATATTAGAATTTAAATGTTTTCTAGTTTTCAATTCACAATATTAATCAATGTATTCAGTTCAATATAGTCAATAAATTAATTGAGTTATAAATGTCGTAAATTATTATTATTGTTGTTAATTCTAAAAGTTCATTTTGTCTTTTCATTTCGAAATAGTAGAAGTTCATTGTTTTCCTGGTTTTAAGTAACAATCTTAATCAATTTATTCAGTTTATTATAGTCCAATCAATTAATTAAGTTCTAAATGTCGTAAATTATTTTTATTATTAATTCTAAAAGTTCATTTTGTCTTTTCATTTCGGAATATCATTAATAAGTTAATTAAATTACAAGTTCAATGTGTTTCTTGTCTATTAAGTCACATGTTTATTCAGTTCTCAATGTAGTCAGAAGCGTGTTCTTATTGAAATATTCGAATGGTGATGATTGATGGAAAAGTACATCATAATCATCAGTAATCTGTCAAGACGACAGGTCCACAGTCTCTTCCAAAACAATTCCTCCACTTAATGCGATCTAGAGCTTTCTCCGTCAAATGACAGTATCCTCTTCTGTCCCCGAGGTCATCCAGCATCTTCTTACGTCTTCTTTCTCGTCTTCTTGTCACTTCTCTCCGCCCCTCTATCTTTCCTTCAATAACTTCTTTTAGAAGGCAGTTACCGCGTAAGATCTGACCAATCCAATTAGCCTTCCGTTTTCTTATTTCATGTAGGATATTCCTCTCCTCACTGACTCTAAATAACACTTCTTCATTTCCCACATAATAGGTCCAACTGATCTTCTCCACCCTTCTCCTACACCACATTTCGAAGCTTTCCAGGTGTTTCTGATCTACTGCCCTAAGTGTCCAAGTTTCAGCCCCATACAAAGCAATGCTCCAGATGTAGCAATTCACTAGTTTCTTTCTCAAATTTAAGTCCAATTTGCTTCTAAGAAGATTCTTCTTCTTGCTAAATGCAGCTTTTGCCGTGGCAATCCAAGATTTAATTTCACTAATACACCTTCCATCATCTATTAACAAGCTACCCAAATATTTAAAACATTTCACATTCTCCAGTTGTTTTTGGTCTATCTTTATTGTGACTGGGGTTGGTTGTCTCAAAATTTTCATTACTTTTGTTTTTTCTACATTCATTTCCATGCCAATGCACCTTCCAATTTCGATTAGCCTATCAATCGTACCCTGTAGCACAGTTTCTTCCTTAGCTATTAACACAAGGTCATCTGCATATTTCACAGTTTGAATAATTCGCACTACTAATTTGAAGTCTCCAAGCCCATCCAGAGCTTTCTTGGTAGGGAATTCGCTGTACAAGTTGAACAGAATTGGTGATAAACAGCATCCTTGTCGAACTCCTCTTCCAATCTGCACACTTCTTGTCTCCCTTCTGTCCACTCGCGCTCTAACTTTCTGATCCATGTACAATTTACTAATCAATCTTCTTTCATGCCACTACCTGGTTCATTTTTGGTATTTCAGGACAGCTTCTTTCTGCCTGTAGATAGCCAGCAACATACTCTTATCCCAGCCTTGAACCATTTTAATTGGGAAATTATGACGAGTCTGGATATGGAAAAAATGCACGCTCTTACTGAAAACTGTCTTTTCTCTAACAGTGCTGAAACTGTTTTACCTCTCAGCAGCTTAGTAGAGGCTGTTAACAGGGTGGCAGGGTCACTTCTTATGTGGAAAGTGATAAAATTGGAACAGTTCTTAATGTCAATACTGGATGCCACAGAGTAATACCAGAAGATATTGTACACATCAAACCAGACGGCACTCAATCGATGGCAACATGTGAAGAAGACACTGACAACATATCATCAGAAATAAAGATGGCAGATGGCTGTGGTGACAAGCAAATATCAGGTGTTCATATTCTCATTTTCAATGACGAGAAACTAGGTGACTTGTGCCACTGTAAGTACTTCTTAACTCTCACCAGAAAGCAGTGCTGAGCAAGACGAAGTGTCAGAACATGATGCTCCAGATGTAACAGGATACTTCGATCAGTGTATGTGAGCTGAATATGAGAAACATTGTGATGAAGTTTTCAAACAAGTTCCAAATGTTATTGCCATAGATCAAAATCAGAACATAACCAGTGTATTGCAACAGGTTCGACCACGTATTACTCATACAGCTCATGAGTTGCTTCAATTACAGAAAAGTTGATGGCTAAATTACATAGCTGTTCTACTCTGGATGAACAGATATTGATGAAGTTTGGCATTTTAGAACTGTACTGAAATTTAACAACCAAAACAAATTTAGTCTAAAATGATAAAAACTGTCATATGAAAACTCAAATACTTCTTTTCAGATTAGTGTTTACCAGAATATAACATAATCCCCTTTCTACAAATTTAAATTAATGTACAAGGGCAAATTGAAAAGTCTTTGCCCCATTTTTTTTTCAGCCACAATGATACACAGACAGGGAAATCAAAATACAGCAATGTTCTAAGTACCTTTGGCTATTGTTCCACATAGTCACCGCCCTGGTTCAGGCATTTGTCCCATTGCACAGCTAGTTTGGAGATGCCGCTGTTGTAAAATTTGGCTCGGTGAGCGCGGAACCACCACCGGACAGTGGTTTTTGCGTCGTCAGAAATGAATCTCTGGCCTGCCAGGAACTTCTTCAGTGGACCAAACATGTGGTAATCACTGGGGGCAAGGTCTGGACTATACGGTGCATGCTCCATAATCTCCCATCCCAATGACTGCAGGCGGGCGGCAGTCCTGTTTGCCACATGAGGCCTGGCGTTGTCATGGAGGAAAACCACACCGTCCATGTGCATCCCTGGCTTTCACACGAAAGTTCTGAAATTGTGATGTGACATCTTTCACAGATTTCATGGTCAACAATTTGAGAAAGATCACTCACTCACTACAAATAGCCAGCTGACCATTTTGCTCTTCCTCATGAACATTTGTTTGCCCATCTTTGAACAGTTCTTTGCAGTTCCTTTACTCATTACATTTTAGCCATAAACCACACTTAATCCACAATTGATTTCCTGCAGCACTCATGCTTTTAGTCTCAAGACAGCAGATAACATCACTAATTTCGCAACTGGTGGGATTACTGATTGCAGGACACATCATAACTCACTCTGCAGAGAGAGATAGTGATAGTTTACAAGGCTATGAGTCATGTGACACTACCTCACATGTGTGAGCTCTCTTCCACTCCTACATTAGTTGCCTAAAATAGAGGTTACTTTCCAAATAGCCCTTGTAGTACATTATCACAATACATATCAGTACACTTGGATTTCTTCTGACAGTAAGACACAATCTCATTCATCATGCCTTGATAAATACAAAATGGAATTGAAATACACATGATATCATATGTTTTAAAGGAAGTGAGAATGATAATGTCATGTGTATGAGTGACTTTGGCCTGGGTTTGGATTGGTAACTGGATTTATTGAACTCTTACAGAATGTAACTACAAGTAACTATAGCACTATCTCAAATTCATACGCTCTACAATTCACTACAGGATGCACTCAGTCTTGCTGTGTCTTCAACAGTCATCTGGGAATGGCTTCCAACGCCATAGCTTCTTCAGCCTGTGTGTTCACACCCTTACTGGTGGGCGACTCTCTCCAAACTAACTGCCAGGCTGCCGGCCATCTCACACCAACCGTCTACTCTTCTGATTGACTCCAAGTCACTAAACTCTAGACTTGTCCTGCTTTGAACACCTCAGCACAGACAGCATAGGAAACAGTTTCCAACAGTTCTTACATTCCTGCATCATGCAGCTGTTGCACAGAGTGGCCATTACAAAAACTACAAAATCTGATGAAATAAAATGGCCATGGTAGCCAGTACTACTAGAAATAGGGCATAGTCTGCTGTACTGAGCCTAGACTGAGAGAGGCCTTGTATATATTATACATACTAGATATTAAGACTCAACTGTAAATAAGTGTACATAGTGATAGACTATGACTGACAAATGACAGACCTGACCTCTCGTCAGTGAGGGCGCCCCACATGGACAGGACAGCAACTTTCATCTAAAAAGAAACATCTGGTCATGAGCCCCAGCTGGAGCTCGACTGACTGACCGTCAGTTGCAATATGACTTTGACTTGACTGTTGCACAGACCATGCAGAGAACATCTCTTCCCAATTAGTCTACGGATGTGTTAGGAATTTGTTGCCTAGCAATGGCATTGTTTACAGTCATTGCTCAGCAATGGGTCTACATGCTACAATATACCATCCACCATATGATTGCTGCAAATGTTATGGAGAGTGTCAGTAAGAAAATGGACAATGTAAAAGCTTATGATGGAGTGATTTAATCTCAAGAACCTAAATGAAGCAGAACAGTAATAGGTTAAAATTTCAAATAGGTTTGCAGCCTAAATCTGAATGAAAAAGTATATATCAGTATGGCTTGGAAATGTATTAAAACATAAATTTCATCCAAATAAAGTCGAGTTTATTACAAATCAGAGCAGCATAAACCATGCTTTAATGAAGAATGTTAAAAATTATTAGATTAATAAAGTTGATTAAACTGTTGGCCACAGAATCTAAGAAAAATGAAAGCAGACATTATGAATAAGAAAGGAAATATCTTAAAGATAAACTCAATGGCATTGAAATAAGAAGACCAAAAATATTAGGTACTTCTAGGTGAAAGATAAAGTTATCCCTGAAGAAAGCAGTCTTCTGGGATTTGGCACTGTGTATATGTGGTGTTAACCGACGTTTCGGAGGAACGTATCGCCTCCATCTTCAGGGTAGAAGAAAAAATATAAGAAATCTGCAAGTGAAGAGACCATGAGAACCGGTAAAAGCAGACTGTGCTGGAAATATACACAGCTATGTGAGAGCAGGGAAGGAAGGGGGAAGGCAAGTATACAAGTGAAAACAGTAGTGTGNTTTTAGCAGTGGTTCCCACGGTC